TGCAAATATTCTCTCCATGTCCGTAGCTTGTCTTCCAAGTACCTTGATATTTTGCACCGAAATTTTACTTTTAAAGTAAAGTAAGTCAATTTTATCAATTAATGGTTTCATAGATTATGTCTTTGATGTTTTAACTAAAAAGACATTACCATACTCAAAGTCATTTAGGTTTTCTCCTATATTATCTTTTGGGAGCTATAGTTTTGCATTTTACATTTAGGTCAGTGTTCCATTTTGAGTTAGTTTTTGTGAAGCATGTAAGGTCTGTACCTAGGTTCATTCTCTTGCATGTAGATGCCCAACTGTTCCAGCTGGAACACTGTTGAAGAGACTCTCTTTGCTCCATTGTATTGCCTTTGCTCCTTTGTCAAAAATCAGATGACTGTATTTACTGGGATCTTTTTCAGGTCTCTCTGTTGGTTTCATTGATATATTTGTCTATTCTTTTGTCAATAACACAGCCTTAATTACTGTAGGCTTATAGTAACTCTCTTTTGCATCTCATTCATTTTTGAGCAATATCTGCCAAATACCTACAACTGAAGAAGCATAGATAGTGGGTCAGTTGTTCTTTCAAGTAAAAATGGTATTCTATGAAAAAAGTAGGTCACTTTTATTTAAAAAAAAAAAAAAAAAAGGAAAGATACAGAGGCAAACCAGGAAACAGACTCTTAAAATAGAAAACAAATTGAGGGCTACTGGAGAGGAAGAAGGATGGGTTAAATGGGTGATGGGTTAAGGAGGGAACTTGTCATGGTGAGTACTGGGTTGTACATAAGTGATGAATCACTAAATTCTGCATCTGAGACTAACATTACCCTGTATGTTAACTAACTGGAATGTAAATAAAAACTTGAAGAAGAAAACAAGTAGCTAATTTTTCTTGAAGTTTAAGCTGCATAAGTGCATTTCTTCCAGACAGACCCGCTTTGGCAAGCAACAGAAGTGCTCCATGCACACTTCCCATTTTGCCACACAGAATATTAAAAAGACATGTACTAAAAGATCAAGACTTAATAAAATTGATGCTTTTTACCGATCAACTAAAGACATTCTTAAGTAAAACTGGCTGATTTTATTTATTTATTTATTTATTTATTTCCATAAGTGTGTAGCAGTGGAGAACCAATGATTCCACGTCAGATTAGTGATACTGGCTTTGGATTTTTTTTAGTCTAATAGTCACTTTGTCTCTCTTTTTCTATCATATTATCTGTTTGACTTTTACTCTGTATTATGGAAGATTTTCTCAATGACATTTCTCAGTCATTCTATTTTTTAAAAATATTTTTATTTAGACAAGATTTTTTAATGTTCTAAGAGTTTTTCTTTCATTATTCCTTGTTACAGAATGTTTAATTTTTCTAGAATGAGACATATACTTGAATATCTTTGATGATTTTCAAAGGCATTTTATGAATGATGTTTTATGTGCTTTTATGTTTATTTTAACATTTACTTTTTACTTTGCTGGCTTTTCTCATTGAATTGGAGAGTCTTGGTTCCCCATGATATGCAGCAAAGGAGAACTCGGTGTCTATCATGGATTTCCTCTTCCTTTATGAAATTAAAACTCTTTTCACGTGGTATATTTCTGGAGAGGGTGTGTGTCACTGGGCCCTCTACACAGCATTGGACACTGTGACTTGTAGATTTTGCTTTAGGTAGCAGCTACGGCTCAGGTTTTGCCTTCCCCAAATGCCAGAGTAAAGAGAATGTTATTGCAGAGCACCAGACATAATATTTCAAACCTGAGTGCTGAGTATTTTTTATGTCTGTCTGTTTGTTTGTTTGTTTGTTTGTTTGTTTTTGGAGAGAGAGAGAAAGACAGCATGAGCCGGGGAGGTTCAGAGAGAAAGGGAGACACAGAATCCGAAGCAGGCTCCAGGCTCTGAGCTGTCAGCACAGAGCCAAACGCAGGGCTCAAACTCACAAACTGTGAGATCATAACTGGAGCCAAAGTTGGACGCTTAATGGACTGATCATCCAGGTGCCCCTGTTTGATGAGTATTTTTAAAAAAGAGCTATGTTCATGTATTTATTTGAGAATTTTTATCAGTGATTAACTCTCTGTAAACTCAGGGTGAGGGATTAGGGACATGGTGGTGGTATCATATTACTTACAAAAATATCTTCATTTAATTATTCTACTTTTAACCTTTATTAGCATTCCCACTGTACTATTTACAGTCTGAAATCAAGGTCATCTAGAGTTCTGTGGAGAGAGGTGGCTTCCATTTCTCTATTTTAAAAATCACACTTATGTTATCGTATTTTCAGTTTTAATTGGAGTATAAAATAAAATTGAGAGTGGGGGAAAAATCACACTCCAGGTTACAATTTAAGCTGCCTATTTCTCCATTTCTATTCCACATAATACCATATTTTATACATTGTTTAAGTGTCCTTAATTCTCTTGTTTATTATGGGCGTATCTATAGATTTTTCTACTTTGTGTTTCTAGATTCCTGTCACAGTGACACACTGGAAAAATTGAAAGGGAACACACATGTGTCTAGTCTACCATACTGTTCTATATAGCTTTTAATAAAGTTTCTACAAGGGCACCTGGGTGGCTCAGTAGGTTAAGCATCTGGCTTAAGATGGCTCAGGTCATCATCTTGTGGTTGGTGAGTTTGAGCCCCACTTTGGGCTCTGTGCTGACAGCTTGCAGCCTAGAGCCTACTTCAGATTCTGTCTCCCTCTCTTTGCCCCTCCACCGCTTGTGCTCTCTCTCTCTCTCTCTCTCTCTTTCAAATATAAGTAAACATTTAAAAAATAAATAAGTAAAGTCTGTACAGCAAAAGTTTCTATTCACTGGGAACTTTTATGTTCTTATGTCAGTTCACAAATATAAATAAAAACAAGTGAATGTGGTATTCAACTTTGCCACTATAATCTAAACCCCATATGCATATGTCAAGAGAGAGAAGACTAAATTCCATCCATCTATAGAAGGGGACACTAGAGATGAACTTAACACCAGCAGCTCTGAAATCAGTGCTTGTTAGATAATTTGGGACCATTATTTCTTCTGTGACCCAGGGAAAACTACATATTTAGCGTTCTTCTATAAAATGGTTTAATAATAGTAGTACTTAGGGGTGCCTGTGTGGATCGGTTGGTTGAGGGACTGGCTCTTGATTTTGGCTCAGGTCATGATCCAAGAGTCATGGGATTGAGCCTTAGATTGAGCTCTGCACTGAACATGGAGCCTGCTTAAGAGTCTCTCTCTCTCTCTCTCTGTCTCTCTGTCTCTCTCTCTTTCCTCCTCCCTCCCCCTCTCTCTCTCCCCTCTCCTGCTGCCCCACTATCCCACTCACACTTTCGTCTCTAAAATAAAATAATAAAGAAATGATAGTAGTACTTGCCTTGTAGAATTGTTTTGAAGATTAAATGAATTAATCTACCTGCAGTGCTTAGAATTGTGCATTGTAGAAAATCAAATTGAGTAAGAGATGGTTATTGTTGATATCTGTATTACTATCCTTCTTAAATATCAGCAACTAGGCTTTGGTTCAGTCAAAATATCATAGCATTTGGATGAGAATAAATGTACTGTGAAGGTAAAGACTATTTTATTTTGTTCATACAATTAAGTAACCTTTAACTTCTAAGTAGAAATTGACATGATCCCAATTGTTATTAATTAGGCTTTTGTTAAAAAGTCTTAATTGTTCAAAGCCTTTATAATTATGAACTATATTTTGAATTATTGTCTTTCCTTAAAATAAAAAAATATGTTTATTAATTTTTGAGAAAAAGAGTGTGTGAGCAAGGGAGGGGCAGAGAGAGGGGGGCAGGGGATAGAGGATCCAAATCAGGCTCTGCACTGATAGCAGAGATCCTGATGTGGGGCTTGAACTCATGAACTGTGTGAAATCATGACCTGAGACAAAGTCTGACTCTCAACCAATTGAGCCACCCAGGCACCCTTCTTAAAAGTTTTAATGCACTCAGCATGGATTTGTAGAAAGAACACAAGTTTTGGAGATAGGAAGACCAAGTATAAACATTTGATTGGGGTACATGGGTGGCTCAGGTGGTTTGAGCATCTGACTCTTGGTTTTGGCTCAAGTCGTAATCTTAAGGTTTGTGAGATGGAACCCTGCATTGGGCTCTGCACTGACAGTGTGGAGCCTGTTTGGGATTCTGTGTCTCCCTCTCTTTCTGCCCCTCCCCCACTTGTGCTCTTTCTCAAAATAAAGTCAAATAACTTTTTCTTTAATTTGATTAATCTGTATGAATCTTAGATTCTTCATCTATAAAAGGAGAATGCTTAACAGTTTCTTTATAGTTTCACTATGATAATTTAAAATTAAATAATAATGCAACTATTATTTTCACCAGTATGCAAACTTCCTTAGGGTTGGGACTATTTTTTTTTTTTTTTTAAATTTCTGGAACATTGCAGAGTCTCTCCTACCAAAAAACATTCAATATGTGCCTTCAACACATACACTGAACAGTTTACATTATTAAGATTTTGAAGAAAAGAGCATAAGTTGTGCAAAAAATAAAAAAGGTTACTATAGTTATGAAGAATTCAGTAATGGGGAGTACAGATTATTAAAAGCTTATCTACTGTAAGCAAAAAGAACAATATTTTCTTATAATTGTTGTTTGGATATTTGGTTGGATTTTGCCATTAATTTACAGATATTATACAGTACTAGTGTGATCATGTTTACAAATGTAAATAATGTAATCTATATTCCATATTACTTTGAATATGCTTTTATTTATAGTATATTTTTTAAGAAAAAGAAAAGTTAAAGACCAGAATCTCTAATTGGAGAGGAAGGAGGAAAATTTAAACAATGAAATATCACTGTGGTTTGTATTTTCAAAAGAATAAATGTGATTTTATTTCTTTTCCCTTGGAAGTAGAGCTTGGAAATATAACAAAAGAAATCAGAAAGTATTATACTTAATAGCTGTTTATTATTATTTAATAAGATGATTATCTTTTTCATAAAAAAATCTTTTCAATTTGATAGATAAGAAACTGTGGTGGGCAGACCAAAACTTAGCTCAGCTGGGAACCTGCAGCAAAAGAGATGGAAGAAACCCCACAGTCCTACGAAATAAGACTTCTGGGGTTGTTCACATGAAAGTGTACGATCAAGAAGCACAGCAAGGCAAGTCACACTGTAATGAATTTGTGCCACCTTTTGAATATGTAATGTTCTCTTTTTTCATATTATTTTCTCAGTTCAACAATGGACAGGTTTGTATTTTTGCTTCGAGTTAAAAAAACAACAACGACAGGGAGGGGGGAAGGTAAATGCTGCTTCATACTACAGAAGAAATGCCTTTGACATAAGGTATATAATGAGCTTTCAAAACATTAGCAGAGCCGCCCAAGGAATCTCAATATGTCAGGTCTTCAATGAGGTCTTATCTAGTTCGTGATTTCAAAATATAAGAATAAGAAAAAATCCCAGCAAAATATATGCAGTATCTAATTAAGCTCCAAATCTGAATGAACCAGGGGACTTCAAATGGACTACGTCAATGTAAGAATTCCACATCCAAAAAGCACTGCATTGTTTGGCTCTAAGCATTTTGCTTTTTTTTTTGTTTTTGCTTGTCCAAATGGTGTGCAGTGAAATGGAGTGAGAGAACTAACAGATGGTTTACATAGGTAGCCTTGTCACATTGCCCAAATGGCAATTAGATTAGAGATTCCACAACCAGTACAGCCCCACATCTGCTAGTCCTTTCTTAGTTTTTGCTTCATGACCCAGGACATTAGCAGAACTCCTTTCGTAGCAAACATTTTTTCTGCATTGTACTTTCTTACCTCAGTCTCTGCCATGAAATCCTTAGCTTCATGTACTTTTCTTCTTAGGAAAAACATTTCAAGAAAATGTAAAGGGTTTTCATCTAAAGGATTTGGGCTTATAGACCAAAACAGAGAATAGTAGAGATAGAAAGAGTGAATCGCAGGGATCACTGATTTTGAACACAGGTAACAACCGTCAATCAGTCTGCATTTATTGGTGATACCAATGGGAAGCCATATCTGCATAGCTGGAGACAAAAAGAGACCAGATTTATGGTTACCTTCCCTGTGTAAAAGCATAGGCAGATTTGGTCTGAAATCCTCCCCGAAATTTCATGGAAAAAATTTAAAGAAAATAATTGCTTTAGATAAACAACAGTGAAGGGGTTACTAGGTTCCTTTCATGTTTAGAAGATACCAATACCCAAACTCTTATGCGCAAAACTGTATTTGCTTTCTGGCATTTTTTTTTTTTTTTTAAATCACTATCTATAATAATGAACAGGAGTGTTTTCACCAGCAATTCTGTAATGGAAAATTTCTGTATCAAAATAAATAATTTTACTGGCATTCAAGTCATGGGGAATATATCATATAATTGAGAATAAAACACTGATACTCAGCAAATAAAATAAAATCCATTTTTGTGGATTTCAATACAATATATTTGCAAAGTATAAAAACTTACAATACTATGATAAACTTTAGTTCATAGTCTATACTTAATGAGATTATACCTGAAAACACACTAGAAAATACAACAGAGGGACAGATACGTTATTTCTAAAAAGGACATTTTAAAATATATATATTCATTTTGTAAAATCAAAATGTGAACATACACATTGTTTGTTTGAAATCGTATATTAATGTAACATGTAGAGTTTTCCTGGATACAGACCCATAAACTTTATTGGAGGAAAAATTTATTATGTTTACTCACTTTTTTTGCTCAGGCACACAAATTTTTGTTCTTGTAAGAGTTCAATTCTACAGGCAGAGTTGGGTATTTTATGCATTGTGAAAGTATTACTAAATTGTCAAGGACCTGCAATACTTAGAAATTAATGGCATAATATGACTAAGCTTAAAATTCAGTGAGAATACTATTTTTACTGAAAGAATATGCTGATAAAAGCATCTATATTAAAGAGAATCCCATTAACAGAATCACAGCAGGTACCTTAAAAGCTTCATTAGTATGAAATATGAGCAATTTAGGATTATTTAAGGTGTTAACATTACTACTACTTTGGATTTCAAAGTACAATTAGCTACTTCATTTATCATTTTTGACATAGATCAGTGGAAAGCCGAGACTTCTCGTTAGTCAAGAGGACTTTCTAACTCCACTAGGGAATTGGGGCGTGAGGATTGAACATCAGTATCATTGCAAAATATTAAGCCAGTCTCGTATTTCTAATATGCCAGATAATCACCACCTAAATTACTCTTTTAAAAATCACTTTAATATTTTTCCTACATCAATTCTTTAATAGACAAAGATACTTATTGTAAATAATGACTCCTTTCATTTTTTTCCTTTTTCTCTCATTCCCTATTATGATACATGAAATGCATGTTGTGCAACATAACTGTTAACATAGGCTAATTTTTTTTATTTTTCAAAAAATAAATATAATACAATATGTATTGCTATTATGACAATTATATTTAAGAATGTACAGTCCCAGAAGTTCCTTTTTCTCATTTTTTCACATATTTTTTATATCATCAAGGTTATAGAAGCCTATTTTTTTGTAATCTTAATTCTCTTCCTGAATCTATTTTTTTTAACTTCATTCCTTATTTCTCCTTCTCTCCATTTGGTGTTTCTTCATACTTTATAGTTACAGCATTTCTTGTCAATCTCTTCTCAGTTTTTCAGTCTTTAGTAACAGTTGAAATAAATCTATAACAAAATGCGTATCTCCATAGTTTGGCATTGCATTAATATATGTTTATGTGCTTTTTATAAAATAAAATATGTTTAAGGTCAGTATAGATTACTGTAAATTTATATAACTATAGATCAAGGTCACTATAGATGACTGTAAAACTATGTAACTGTATACTATATAACAGTAAATATAACTGACTCATTAAAGTATTCAGGGATTTGAAGTTTCATCTTAGTATGTAAGTATATAAAAAGTCAGCTTGAGGAAAGGCAGAATAAATCAACTAATCTTCTTTAGTTTATATAAGAGATCAAAGTAATCATTTCAAAAGTTCAGGGCAACTCAAATCCTCATATGTGGCCCTATATAGGATGGAGTTCATCATTGACTGAAGTGGCAGCTATAGGAAATGAGGAGAGAATGTGGTAGATCTCTTGATGAGAAATCTCCCAAGTTGAGAGTATTTCACACTTCAAAAATGACAGAGCTCATGACAGCTTCAATTGAACAATTAAATCCCATCAGACTATCTTGAATTCAGGAGACGAGAAATAATGAGCTGCACTGGTATTTTGAATTTTCCATAGAGCACTATTGATATATAGCTTTCATCATGCTTTGTAATTCTCACTGGATTTACTGCACTATGTATTAGAGCTTGAACATCCAGTAAATGGCATTGCATGTCCTAGAATAATAAAAATGTTGTAAAAATGGGATATTTAATGAACTTGCTGGGTAAGATTGTAAATTACTTAACGTCACGCTACTAGGTTTAATTAGCACATTGGGCCTAGTAAATTCAGTGGAACATCTTTCTAGAATGCCTACCTGTGATTACCTGACTAATATTTGTCATTGCTACTACACAGGAATAAGGAGAATTAATATGCCAATTAATTAGATGACTCTTACGGGTATGTTTTAAATATATTTGGGAGAATTATGTTCCTAGGAGTAGCAAAATTTATTTCCTTGCTTTTAAAAAATTATTTAAATACACACACACACACACACACACACACACACACCTCCTTTCTTTTAGTGCCATCGTCTTCAAGTTGAATTAGTAATATAATTTAACAGAGATGTATTTGATGTATTTGGATAAACTATTCTTGAAAATGAAGTAACTATAGAGTTGAAGTGAAACACAGTAATCAAAAAAGAAAGAAAGAAAGATTTCCTAGTACCTGTGATCTTAAAATATTTTAAAGGTCTGTAACAGTATTCATGACAAACCAATTTCACTTGCTCTTATACAGCTATGAATTTTCTCATGGATCATCATTTGCTTTTAAAAAATAATTTTTAATTATTTATTTTTAAATTTATATTGTGAGAAATAATTGACATATAACATTGTATAAGTTTAGGGAATACGACATGTTGATTTGATGCATTTATATATTGCAATATAATTACCACCTTAGCATTAGCTCAAACCTCTACCATATCACATAATTATCATTTCTTTTTTGTGATGGGAACAATTAAGATCTGCTCTCTCAGCAACTCTGAATTGTAATCAAAGTTTAATTGATACTATAATTAATTATAGTATTGCTGTCTATAATCACTATGCCATGCATTAAATCTCCATTCACATTTTTGGGGGGAGGGCAGACTTCAACTGTAACATGCTGCTTTAAATTATTCAAGACACTCAAACACATACTAACCTACATAAAACAGCCACATTTATAAATCAACAAAAGCATAAATATTCATATTATTGATATTGAATGATATTTGAATTTATTAATTTATTAATTTTATTTTTCTTGAGTTTTATATTTCTTTTGCTTGTTTTCCTTCTATGCAGGCAGCAATTCTTGCCAACTAAATAATGGTGGATGCTCTCAGCTTTGTTTACCAACATCTGAAACTACAAGGACTTGCATGTGTACAGTGGGATATTATCTCCAAAAGAACCGCATGTCATGTCAAGGTATAAGATCTTGAAGAATTTAATTCTGATGCATTTACTTTATCCATGCAGATCTGAGGCAACAAAACATAGTTAAAATATAGAAAAAATAATATTAGCTTCTTTTTAGGAAACTGGTTCACTGCTTAGTCTCATAGATGTAGGATTTTTAAGGTACCTAATACAAATAAACTACAGTTTGTTGTCAAACTTTTAGCCACACCCAGTAGAAGCTACCTTCAGCTTGAATAGGCAAGAGTTGAAGTAAAAGCAGTAATTGATTGGTTATAATTACCAGTCAATCTTAATTCAGTTATGTTTAATTTATTCTATTTAAGAGAAAGTGCAAGAAAGGTTGTGAGGTCTCTGATTTTCTCAGGTGAGAGAGAAGAGCACTGGCACCTAAAAGACCCACCTTCCTATTTCTTGTTTTGTAGATTCTGGTTCTAAGTCTCAAAGAAATTTGGTTCTAGAATGATCATTTTATCCAATGATCATAGCTTAATTAAAAAGAAGTTTCAATCTTATATGAGAAATATGTTAATATTATCGTATGTTTTCTTTTAAATAAAATATTTATATGACACTTTTATGTACTAGGCACTGTTCTAAATACTTTAAGCATGTTAATTCACTTAATCTTCATACTAACTCTGTGAGGTAGATCTCTTATTATTCCCATTTTAGAGATGTGAAAATTGAGGCATAGTGAGATTAACTAGCTTGCCTGAGTCACACAATTGTGGTAAAGACACATCTGAACTCAGGCATTCTAGTTTTAATAAGAAAATATGTCTACAAACATGTTTTAGCATAGTAGAAAAATTCATAAATAGCATGCAAATTTCTGATAGTCAGCTTTTATGTGCATGTTTATTTTAGGACATACTGTTAATGCTGGAATGGCAAGGTATTAGCAAAAGTTAAGTACCAGGTATGTTTTTAGTTCTCAAATGATTTAAGGCTAACTTTGTTAGAAAAATAAGAGTAATATAGTTATCTAAAGTCATATGTAAAATCAAAATTTATTATCATATGTAAACAATAAGGTAACTTGGGCATTAGAAAAGAGGGGGTGAATTTTGGTTGTGAGGTAAGGTATGTTTTCAAGAATTACCTGCCCTTGTGTTTGTGAAAGTATAGTTCCAAATCAGTAGTGTTTGTCACTATCTGGGAACTTTTTCAAAAATTTAAATTATCTTTCCTCTTAGATGCGGCTCTGGTAATCTCTGTGTTTTAACCAGTTCTCTAGGAGATTCTGATACATACTCAATTTTGAGAACCACTAATCTATCTACCTTTCAACTAGTTAGAGGTGTAGTGTACAATTTAAACAAAATGTTAAATATAATGCTAGTAGAATGATTTTAATTATTCATTTGGAGCTTTTTTTTTTCTTCTTCCAATTTAGGTATAGAGTCATTTCTTATGTACTCTGTTCATGAAGGAATCAGGGGAATACCTTTGGAACCAAGTGACAAAATGGATGCATTGATGCCTATATCAGGAACTTCATTTGCTGTTGGAATAGATTTTCATGCAGGTAAATAGCTTTTTATTCATAATTTATGTATAATGTTTTTACTTGATTTATTAAACATGATTCAAATATAACCTTTCCCTCTGTACTCTGATAGTCAAGATGAGGAATAAGAAAGCAAATTAGTAATGAATTTTTAAGCCCAATACAAATTGTTCTAAATATGTTTTCCTGGAAAAAAATGTAAATATGTCCTAAAGTATAGCATTTGAGTTGCAAATGCATTAAAATGCCATGATTGGCAATTGGTTGCCACAGTTTTATTTCTTTCTTTACAAAACGACACTTACTTTTATTCAATTATAAGGATATATAAAACATTTGGATTGGGAATAAACATAAAACATAATCTTATTTAAAATATTTCTGGAATGATTATCTATTCTAACATAGGTAGTAGCATATTAAATACAAATAACAAGAAAACAACTATAAATGCTGTGACATTTAAATTACTTTTGAAGATGCTATGTATCATTTTGGAGTCAGATTTTATCCTTCTTGTTTTAGCAAATGGTGAAAAAAAGCAGAATGGACACTAACATTTTCCTGTGGCTGTTACAAATGTGTGCATGGAAATTGATGGTAGATGTTGTCCAATTTATCGAAGTAAATATGCTTTGTGTGTGTATGTGTGCTAATTGCTAAACTCAGAGATAGTATAAGCATTAGATATGCTTTGGCATTTATACTCAGATTTTTTTATTCTACACTTGCGGGTTTAACCTTATAAAAACGAACTTCTGTACCTCTCATCCAACTAAATCATATGCTTCCCATATTAATGTTTTAAAGAGAAGATGTACATGCATGTTAACAGTATTTTTTATACTTGTAAAGACTTATTTTTATCCAATTTTAAAAACAAGTAGTTCTTTGATTTATAATCTTAAAAAAAATCCTTAAGCATCAGCATGTGGTATTCTGGTTGTAAGCTTATTTTTTTTTTTCCACTCAGCTCTAACACATTTTGTTTAATCATGTGTTAATGAAATTCCTGGCTACAATTTAATGAGTTACTGAGGATCTTCACAAACATTTCAAAGTTGACTTTTATTAAGTAAATTATTTTGTAACCAATGTTTGGAATCATATAGAGGCACATTTCCTACATTTTCAAAGGACCTTTCCTAAAAGGAAATTCAGACAAATATAGTATATTTTATTGAGCAGTATGTAAAATTTTGCCAATGTGATTTTTGATCACAACTTCGTTATACTTGGAAGGCTCACTATCCTACCATGCACAATCAACCCAGTCTCTTAATTTCATGCATCTTATTCTATAGAGATTTAGTAAGTGCAAAAGTGCAAGATGAAGAAAACCTGAACTTCTTGAAAAGATGTTATATATAAGCATATATTTTTATTAAGCACACATAATCCTTTGTTTTAACCATTATCCCACATATGATTCTTTTAAAGCCTTCATAATGATTTTTGAAAGTATTTGAAAAATTTCTGAGGTAAAATAATGAAACATTTGGTATAAATGGTCTGATTAGATCACTAGTAAATTTCTTTTTTCCTTAAGGGTAGACTGATTATTTGTATCAGTTAGCTCTGAGGCTTTTTATTGAACCTGAAATGGTTAAGTTGCATATAATGTGCCACAATATAGGCTATTTTTTTTTTTTTTTGCAGAGAATAGTACCCTCCCTGTTTCTATATTTCCAATAATTATTAATATCATAATAAACTTATTTTGCATCAGAGTAGTTTTTCATTACCACCCTCTGACTCCCCTGTGAGGTTTGTAAGTTAGTTAATATTTCTGAGGCTCATTTCTTCACTCTATGGGATGTGGGAATATTTAGATTAATGTATACAAGTGTTTGACACTGTGATATATAAGGGAGCTAAGAAAATAGTGATAATTGAATCATAAAGTAATAAATTGTAGAAGTAAGCATATGTGATATATGTGTGGGTAATATACGTATTTACAAACATGCCCTGGAAGCCGTATTTAAACTTCTAATTAGCAAAGATTTTTTTTCTGTTCCCTTGACTGATACTATACTTTCTGTTCAATTATCTTCATAGAATAGTTATTTCTTAACTTCTTGGGGACAGAATACGTTAGTAAAATTCATTAGTAAAGATGAACTTAATAATGATGATAATGAATATTATATAAAGCAGATATTTAAAGATTAAAAAATAATACCAGCTATTTGAAGTCCTTACATATGTACCTAGAAGGCCAGCAGACAGTGCTTAGATAGGGAAGGAAGTAAAGCACTAATGACGATGATGGTAGTGGCAGTATTAAGAGCCTCCGCCCACTTCCACACATACCTTTTCCATCTATTTCATAGTCTGATCCTTTTCTAATTGTGTTTTATGAAAATATATCCAAATCAGAGTAAGTGTCAGCAGCTTGATTTATGACATCATTATAGACAATATGTAAGCTCTGTGGCTTTGTTGTTGAGTAAAGTTGCTTCAGGGAGAAAGGAAAGAAAATGACAAGATCGCTCCTGAGCAAAGTAGAGAAACCAATTTTTGGTGCATCAACACTTTTTTCCTCCACCAAGGCCATTATGTTTTACCTGATTATAAGCTCTTCCTCTATTAGTTCCCTTTGCAGATATTCGATATTTTCTTCTTTCGTTCATGGCATTCACATCTGTGACATAATCCCTGCCCTAGGATCAATCAAAGATAAAGATGACAGAATGAAAGGGCATAGTGGCTCCTTATTCTAAACAACAAAAACAACAGCAACAACAAAACAAACAAAAAGCTCCCATCACAATAAGGAGATGGTTTGAAAGAGAATCATTTCTCGAGTATAACCATCATAATTTATGTCATTTTATTAGCACAGCTTTACAGAGGTAAATCCGTTGTTTAAACCTGTATATTTCATGAGGATTAACAGATCTGAATCATGTTGGGTTTGGGTCCTAACAAATTGTAGTTTTCTGCAGTGAAAGGGTTTCTTTCACCAGAGGAAGCAATTCTGGATACTAGCCACAGAAGAACAAAATACCCTGTGGCTAGATTTAAAATGTTCAAAGTATTTTTATGACTTCACTGGAAAAGTCCCGTTCCACTGGGAAAAAAGAAAAAGAGCTTTGAAAATCCTTGCCCACTGGGTAATATTCCTCCTGATGAATGAATATTGACTTTGATGCTTTAAAAGATATATTTTAGGGTCTCTTGGGTGGCTCATTTGATTGAGCATCCAGCTTTTGATTTTTGCTCAGGTCATGATCCCACAGTTCATGAGATCCAGTCCCATATCAGGCTGTGTGCTGACAATTCAGAGCATGCTTGGGATTCTCTCCCTTCTTCTCTCGCTGCCCCTCTCCCACTAATGCGCTCACCCTCTCATTCTCTCCCTCTCTCTCTCTCTCTCTCTCTCTCTCTCTCCCCCCTCCTAGCCTCAAATTAAATGAATAGATCTAAAAAATTTTTAAGATATATTTTAGTTAAGAGAAACACCTTTAAAACAAAGCCCATTGCTCTAGTTAGTAATGTGATCTTTGGCATGTAATGCTCTATTCAGTCTGACCCTCTCCTGCCTTGAGGGTATGTATCCTTCTTTATACTGATTACATACTAGGATATTACTTGAAGATAATGAATATTTATCTGAAAATTTCAGTCTTCTATTCTTTTTTCATTTTTATATCTGTTCAACTTTTTATCATCCAACTCAATATTAACACATGTTGATTATGATCTAGTAGGTGTAAAACATCACAGCTAAGTTACTGTAGAGGATAAAGATAAACAATGAATAGTTTCTGAGGTAAGGCATGTATGGATGATCTGTAGGGCTTTTTGTCTGTTTATTTTGTCTTTTAAGAGAGCATCAAAAAAACTATTATCTGGATACCATTGCTTGGCACTCTCTATGGAGAATATTTTAATGTGTTTTTACACCATTGCATAGTGATCTAGCTATTCAGAGAAAAGACACTGAAGGGACTTGTCCTTATAACTTCTTTTAAAACCCATGGAATGTAGAATACCAAGAGTAATCCCTAATCTGAACTGTAGATCCTAATAAAAACTATTGATACGCCAATTTAAGTTTATCAGTTGAGACTCTGACAGTTGGGAAGGCTGTTTGTGTATGAGGGGAGAAAGCACATGGGAGCTCTCTGCTCAGTTTATCTGTGAATCTAAAGCTGTTCTAAAAAATAAAGCTTATTAAAAAAATTAAGCGACGGAGACTATGACAAAATACCGTTGCCACATTTACACATTTGAGTGTCAACTATTTACATGAAATAATTTCTCTGTAATAGTTCCACAATATTTGCATATATCTTTGACTGTTAGAACTAGAAGGAACATTTGACACAATGTAGTAGCATTCCCTCAGGCTATAGATAAGGAAACTGTAACCCTGAGAGGTCAAGAGGTTGTATGGTAATGGAGTATCCTATTTCCATTTCTTTACACTATACCACTCTATACTTGTAACCACTGAAACAAAATTTTGTTTAGGCATTGTTGGCATTAGTTGATAAACTTCTTTGCACTTCGGCAAATTTGTGCTTGTAGAAGACCATATTTTATTTTGGTCATATACTGAATCATCGAATCATGTGACCTTAAACTCCTTTAATAATTGAAGCAGGTGACACTCAAGTGAGAGTCTCTTTCCCTGGAGGCTTAGAAAACAGCTATTTACAAAAAAAAAAAAAATTTTTTTTTTTAGTAACCATTTTGTCACCAACCAAGGCCACAGAAGAATTATAGAAAGAATTCTTTTTATGTTAGTAACAGCAATAGCTTAAGAAATATAATACTGTTGTTTTGGGACATTTTTTCAATTTTATGAAAACCATTTCCATGGCTACAAAGTGAATTTTTAGGACTGGTTCATTTCTTTTTGTTCTTGTGACAGTGAACCAATACTACTTTGTGTTGTCATTTCAAACTTGCTTCAAGACTGTATTTTCAAATCATGTGAACAGTTTGTATGTACTTGTAGACAGTAAAGTCTGGTCTATCTTTCAAGAGGAAAGTAGTAACTACCA